TTCGTCGAATGCCAGGTACATCCAGCACCTCCCCCAAACCCACAAACTGCCTGCTAACACTAACACCCTAGATCCTCGAAGCCCTAGGCGTAGACTACATTGACGAATCCGAAGTCCTCACCCCCGCCGACGCCATCCACCACGTCTCCAAACACCCCTTCCGCATCCCCTTCGTGTGCGGCTGCCGCGGCCTCGGCGAAGCCCTCCGCCGCATCTCCGAAGGCGCAGCCATGATCCGAACAAAAGGCGAAGCCGGCACGGGCGACGTCATCGAAGCGGTGCGCCACATGCGCACTGTAAACAGCGAGATTGCGCGCGCAAAGAGCATGTCGGACGAGGAACTGTACTCGTACGCAAAGGAGCTCCAGGTCGACTACGCGCTGCTCAAGGAGACGGCGAAGCTGGGTCGTCTGCCTGTTGTCAACTTTGCGGCGGGTGGTGTTGCGACGCCCGCTGATGCGGCGCTGATGATGCAGTTGGGCTGTGATGGTGTTTTCGTTGGCTCCGGTATCTTCAAGTCTGGGGATGCGGCGAAGAGGGCCAAGGCTATTGTGCAGGCGGTTACGCATTACAAGGACCCCAAGGTGCTTATGGAGGTTAGCATGGATTTGGGTGAGGCTATGGTTGGTATCAACTGTGGTAGCATGGGCGAGGACGAGAAGCTCGCTAAGAGGGGGTGGTAGATGTGCGACCTTGTAGCGAGAGACACCTACTGAAGGCGTCTGCAGTTGATATTGGCGTTTTGGATATTTAGCTCGGGCATGGGTTATGAAAATGTATAGAAGAATAAGCTCAACTCGGAATGACCATCAGTTCAACATGCATCTTCTTCAGCTTCAGATTGTATTATATATGTCATGGTGTATCGCGGTGACATGAAGAGCCGAGCGAGTACTGACTGGTAGTTGCGACACCTACTTCCACAAGTTGCAGATCACGTCATACGGAAAGCCGAGGTTACATGCGGAGTCACAAAAGGTTAAAGATGGGGAAAAGTGATTTAACGTTTTGATTGAGCTACCTGCAATAGGTCACAAACGGGCGTATCGAATGCAACGTACAGTAAGCCACCGGAATGTCCATAACTTGCTGGAGCCCAATACAAGGACGGTCTCAGCATCATGCGCTTTGAAAAATATCACACCCATGAACTCCGCTGCGCCGGAGACAAAACCCTTCAACATATGCACCGGCCGGTCCGTATTTGTCCGCGGTCCGTTGACCAATGCGATGTGGAGGTAAAGAGGTCACGCGTACCCAGGTGCGCGCACTTAGCGGTCCTCGGCCCACTCGTTCTCGCGGCGGATCTGCTCCTCCTCCTCGGGGGTGAAGTCGTTCTGGATGTTGAACGTCTTGCGGATCTCATCGGGAGACTTGCCCTTGATCATGTTCGCGACGGTCTTGCAGCCGACGTCGAGGAGAGCCTTGATATCGAGGTAGTTGGCGGCGAGGATGATCTCGAAGAGCATCTCCTGGTCTACCTGCATAAACTTCTGGTCCCACTCGTCGATGTCGGTCGACTTCTTGCGCGAGTCGGAGTCGTCGTCTTGGGTGGCGGGCGGGTCGTTCTTGTGGTGGCCGCACCACTCGATAACCTTCTTCATGACTGCCTCGTTGACCTGCGACATGTTAGTGGCTGTTCTTGGAGGTGGGGAGGTGAGTACATACGTTGGGGATGGGGATCGACTCGGAGGATTCACCACCAAGATCCTCGAGCAAGTTCTTGATGAGAATGGAGCGCTCGGCGACGGGGCGCTCGACGTCCATCTGGATGCCGTCGGAGGTGGTGATGTTGATCATCTTGACACCCTCGGAGTTGGTGGTAGCCATCGCGATAGCTGTATTGTAAGGTGTTGTAGGTGGTTGTAGAAGTGGGGTAAGCTGTGGATGGAGTTGGGTGGCAGGGTTAAGCGGCCGTTGCGTTGAGAGTTGATGGAGAATGTGTGTGGGAAGAGCGTCTGGGGCTCGGGTGGGCAGTGATTATATAGGCGCAGGCGTTTTGCTTCCACGTTTGCGCGCTGTGAGGGTGAGAGAGGCAACCACGGTCCAACTCCGCCTCGCTGTTTAAGCTCAGGCGCCAAGCTCGCTCGATGGGGCAAGGCGCAAGGCTGCAATCATCAAAGGGACGCTGTGGTGACGGGAGAACGCAGGTTGTATGTGCTTTGAACCAGCTTTGTTAGACGACTTCACTTTGCTGCTTGCTGATTCAAGAAAGACATTGTGAAGTGCTACCCTCTCGTTTGTGGGCCAGCAGCTTGTGCCATGTTTGCGCTCACTTGAACTTTGGGCGAGCCCCCGCGCATGGCACGGAGGATGACTCCACGCCGCACACAGCCGGCAGAAGTTACCAGAATACGACGTGGATTCGACTCACGGAGGATGATGCCTGGGGCCAACACGACCCGTTCCAGATACCTGTCCTTAGAAGAGATGTACGTTGAGTCCCCGGCGACATCTGTCTGGGAAGGTAAGGGTGCAAGGACCAGCCAGAGTCGCCAGCGGGCCAAATGCGCGGTGACTCAAAAGGCTACTTGATACGTTTCAGTATTGCTCACACCAGAATCGCAACATCAGATCCGCCGCATCAACTTCAACCCCATCTACACGTATCCTTGAAGGGGTACTTGGGTACCTGATCCACTGATGTTGCGCCACGTGACCTTTCTGCCTGCAACGGATCCGCATGCAAAGGCAGCCTAGACAGCCGTGGACAAGTCCGATGCACCATCGGTTGCTGCCACATCGCATCTGATCAGGCCGCATGATAGTCGGCCGATATATCAGCCATGCTTCTGCTCGCCATGTAGTTCGCAGATCATCACAGTGCACGAGTCGCAAAGCATAACTCACCATTCGCTCTTGCAACCGGCCCCCCTATCCGCGTGCAACTGGTGATTGATTGACGTAGGCCACTAAAACATTTGTTGGCCTCACTTTGCGAAAACAAACACCACAGCGGACAGATATGCGCCTGCTCAACCCCGCCAAACCCCCAAACGGCACATCTCGACTTTCGACATCATGTGGCGGCGTGTCTATTTCCTGCTGATCCTGGTGCGCATCTACTTTGCACTATCGCCGAGCTATCTGCACCCGGACGAGAACTTCCAGGGCCCCGAGGTCATTGCCGGTATGTCGCGACACTGTCTGAGTATGCGCCCGTGGCCACGACTTACTTGTATCCAGGGCGCGTCTTCTCCTACCCCGTCCACGAAACCTGGGAGTTCACCTCCGAGAACCCCATCCGCAGCACGTTCCCGCTATGGCTCGCATACGGCTGGCCCATGTACATCTTGCGCTGGCTATGGGAGGGCTTCGGATATGACGTCTCGCCGTCGGTCGTATACTGGGCGCTGCGCGTACTCATGTTGACGTTGAGTGTCGTGATGGAGGACTGGGCCATCCACGAGCTGGTCGCTTCGCCCCGCGCGCGTCGTGTTGCCGTCATGCTCGTCGCATCGTCGTATGTGACCTGGACGTTCCAGACACATACCTTCTCCAACAGCATCGAGACGCTGCTGGTGCTCTGGAGCCTGGTCTTGATCCAGAGGATAACGGACGATAAGGTGAGTTGTTTCGGTCCGCTCGCCGATCTAGGATATGCGGCTAACGCAAGGTGCAGAAGCGCTCTGGCATCCTGGCTTCATCCATCCTGGGCTTCATGGTCGTCGTAGGCATCTTTAATCGCATCACCTTTCCAGCATTCCTGCTTCTTCCTGCAACAACTTTGCTACCCCACTTCAAGCGCAAGTAAGTCAGCCCCTCTCGGCTTCTAGACCTTCACTAACAGCCACAGACCATTCTCTTTGGTCTTCCTTGCAACGTTCGCTTTCTTCACAGCTTTCCTTGCTATCTGCGTAGACACGGCGTTTTATACCCCCGGCGATTTCACCTTTTCCAAGCTCACCAGCGGCGCCGTCATCACACCCTTCAATAATTTCCGCTACAACTCGGATTCCGCGAACCTTGCCCAGCATGGCATACATCCACGATACCAACATTTCCTCGTCAATCTCCCTCAACTCCTCGGCCCGGCGACACCACTTCTGTTCTTTCTGCGCAGGGCGCATATCTCTATGATTCTCATTTCAGCCATATCTGGCGTCGCACTTCTCAGCATCTTCCCACACCAAGAAGCACGATTCTTACTTCCCGCCGTACCATTAATACTCTCATCAATACGCCTACCGACTCCGCGCATTCGAAAGAGCTGGATCGTTACTTGGGTAGTCTTCAACGTTGCCCTGGGTATCCTGATGGGCGTATACCACCAGGGTGGCATCGTCCCAGTTCAGATGAACATTGCCAAAACGAACGAGCCAGTTTCCAATGCGTTCTGGTGGAAGACGTACAGCCCGCCAACGTGGCTACTGAACGGCAAGAACGAGGCGCTCAAGACCGTCGATCTGATGGGCTGTCCAGCCGAACAGATGATCGAAAAGGTCAAAGAAGCACTACCGCCTTGTCGGACACGGAAGCCACCCAAAGCCGATCGAGGCTCTGTATACGTGGTAGCACCACGATCAGCACATGCTTTGATACCATATCAAAGCCCCAACACTTCAAAAGACGTCTCATTAGAAGAAGTTTGGAGTTATCGACAGCACCTGAACCTCGATGACATGGACTTTGCCGACGACGGCATCTGGAATACCATCAGCCGCGTCGTCGGCGATCGGGGACTGGTGGTCTGGCGAGCAACCCGGAATTGCTGGTCTACACCTGAATGAGCTAGAGAGGTCGCATTTAAGAAGACATCTCGTTGGTCTGATATTTCGGAGTCGTGGTACAAGATGCGAAGAATTTGGCAGCGCAAGCTGAATGTCCATTTGTTTCCTTCTTGACTTCTGCATATATACCCATCACACTTCTTCCATAGCTCCTCCTAATGTTAATAAAGTAAAACGTTCAATCACCCAAGTGCTACATCCTCTGGCCATGCTCTACACAAAACATCGCAGTTTCTGTCACATAGTGGTATACACAATCCTTAACCCTCCTCACAAAGCACCACCCAACACCCTAACAGCCCACATCGCCATCCTAACATCCATCCCAACCTTCCTCTCCGGCCTCTCAAACTCCTTCTCACCCACCTCCCTCGCGTGTTCCCCCAACCACCTAACCTCCTCCCCCAACCTCTTCCTCAACCCGGGATCCTCCGTCGCAATAACAACATTAGCCTCAAGATCCAACTCATACGCCCTCTTCGTATAATTGCTACTCCCGATAACCGTCAGACTGGGATCTTCCTTCTCCCCTCCCCCACCATTGGTAGAAGGAAACGTAACCCACAGCCCCTTGGCATGATACGTCCACCCGCCCTCCTGGCCCACCATACCCTTCTTCCACTCTTTGAGCACGATGCTCTCGCTGAGGCCTTGGTGTTTTACTTTGCGCAAGAAGGATTTCGCAAGGTGTGTGTATGCGGCTGGGAGCATGCCGCTTACGCCTTTGGAGCCGTAGAAGCCGTTGGCGTGCGGGTGGGCGGTTAGGACTGTGCCGGAGGCCGGGCGGGTGGAGAGGAGGAGGCGCCGGAAGGAGGGCGTCATGTTGAAGTAGCCGGCTGTGAAGGTCCAGGACGAGTTTTGTAAGGGGGGTGTGGTGAGGTGAGTTAGGATTTTTGTTAGAGCGGGGAGTTCGGTTGAGGAGGGGAGGAGGGGGACGAGGGAGAGGATGGGGTAGATTGTTGTTTTTGAGGTGGAGGGTGAGGGAGATGTGGTGGGCGGGGAATTAGATGGTAGGAGAAGGTGGGCGAGGTGCTTCTCCGCGGCGGATTTGTAGTTCGAGGGGGAGTCTAGTGGTGAGGGCGCGGCGTTGGTTGTTGGCCAGGTCATGGTATAACCTCCGCTTCCCTCTTGGTTGCTTGGCTGTATGTCGAAGCTCAACTTGGCGACGCCATCGTGTATCCTCTTGAAGTAGTCTGTCAGGTCTTTTGATTTGAACAGATGGTAGCGATCCTGTCGATTCGTAAAGTAATCTTCACTCAGGTTTGCACCGGACATGATGATTTCATCGTCTACACCGTACAGCTTCATGTGCTGCAGACCCCAGCCTTCGTTGATGCGTTTTGGGATGTACTTCTTTCGCAGGCCAGTTAGGTTGGGTGTATGGTACATGCGTACTTCTACGCGGTCTGGACCGAATTCCGAGATGAGAGGTGTCATGAGAGAGGCAGTCGAAGGATTTGGTGTTTCCCTAGTTCCGCGAAGAGCGTCGGTGAGGAAAGAGATCTTAAGGTTGGGGTTACGTTGGAGAGCATCTCGGATAGTTGAGATGAGTTCATGTTCGGTCTTGCCGATGTAGAGTGTCGATAGATAGACCCGGTATTGAGCTTTGGATATTTTGTCCTGACTCCGTTAGTACGAGGTTTCATCACCACGAGTAAGCTTGCTCACAGCACCTCCGTCCCTCCAGTCATTCATTGGGGATGGAGTGTTGGCATGAAGTTCGCAAGTGAGGTACAAGGGCAGAAGGAAATGGGCATGGGAGAGTAGTGTGCCTCTTGGCAGAATGACAGATAGTAAAGAAGCACGCTGATTGAAACATGAGATGAAGATTGTCTTGTATGTTTTGAACATTCCAAAAGAGGATCAGAACAGAAGAGTGAGTAGGAAATGACAACAACAAAGACCGACCTACCTTCAATGTTTGATAGAACTCAGCAGGCGTCTGAAGAATCTCAATTTGATCTGGCTGAATCTCAAATCGCGGCGCAATCTTATCCAAATCCGTCGTTATCGTGGCAAGCATAGACGCTTGGCTCTGAGGCACAGGTGAAGCCATCTCAGCGTTCGAAGTCGAGTATCTTCGCGTTGTCCTAAATGTCCGAGTGGGGATGCGGAAAGATCTCCTCCCCGCGATCTTCGGTGCTTGGGCGCGTAACAAGCTTCTTATTATCATGTTGGCCACTCGCTATGACGCCGGATGCTGGTATGTGCTTCGACTCCTGAAGTTTTGATGCACTTTGGGGTTGGGCGACAAGGATCACGCTCGCACTAGTATGTCTTGGGCAAGGCGTGAGAGCGGTGCTTGGCATCGTCAATCGCGAAGCAGCAACATCCGACAAGCATCACGAACGCTGAACTGACCAAACGCCGCCATGTCGACGCTCATGAGAACGCTGCGCAACCTGCGCCGAGTTGGACTTAAGGTAAGCTTCAATACCTGCAGTAATTGACGTCGCAACGCTAACACGTCCGCAGGAATATGGCCACCAAATGGCGGTACGCTCGCATCCCCGCGCCCTCACCTTGCATCGCAGATAGACTGATCGAGTCGCCCGCACGCTTAGAACATCGGTACGCTTGGACACAAATAAATCGCCATGTTAAGGGAGGGGCTAATGGGGAACAGGTGATACCAAAGCCGGAACCTTGATCGGCCAGGACAAGTACGGCAACAAGTACTTTGAGAACTTGGAGGAGGAGCTTCCTCGTAAGATTCGCGGATCTCGGAGATGAAGGCATATATCTGACTGGCATAGTCCGAACCCGCTGGGTCGACTACAAGGACCATGAGTTCGATCCGTATGTTGCAACGAACGTGGAGACATGGAGCAAAACTAACGTTTGTAACAGCTCTCAGATCGAACCCGGATGGTATGCTACCGCACCAAAAATCGCGAGATACGACTTTGGGAAGAACACACATCTGACTTTCTACACAGGCACGCCTGGATGTCATACATGGTCGACAAGTCACCAGCCGCAGACCCGCTTCTGCAGCGCCAGGTCCGCGTCTGGGAGCCAAAGGAGCACAGGCCGACTCTCACATGGACCCGCTCGGGATACAAGCCTTACAACACGTACGTTCCAGACTGCGACATGGGCAGGTCAGGTACTAACAGACGATAGTGTCAAGCCCAAGTACTCTCCATGGACACCCGTCGCCAAGGCTCGACAGTAGACGCGTTTTCCATACCAAGCATTGTATATATCCAGAGAAGAAATCGATGTTTCAGATGCTATCACCTCTATCCACTCCCGATATTCAGAGTCCTTCCATTAACATAGGAAGCACAATCTCCTTGTTGAACTTCCAGAGCGCGCTGCTATCTTGCGCTCGGAACGTCGCACCACTCCAATACGTGCTCCTCAACCCCTGTAGCGCGTTCATCCCGTCATAAAAGCCAGCCTGTATATCCTCAGGACCGGCTTGCATGTAGAACGGCGCATGTGATGTAAACACCACGAACTCTGGCTCTGTTGCTTCGAACTTGTCAGCATTTACTGTTTGCAGTCTCTTGATACCCGCAACCATCTCCCCTTTGACAAAGTCATCAGAAAGTGGGTATGTCGCATTCGACCGTTGAGAACCATAATAAATCGCTTTGACGCCAGGAATAGCGGTTGGCCCCATGGTATAGACACCCGGCAGGGCAGCGAGGTTGTACGGGGTGTCCGGCGCGCGATTGTAAATGACCAAATCGTCAGGTGTACCCGTGTTTTTGACCAGAGCAGCATAATACCCAACATCGATAAGTTTCCCAAAGACTTCACGTTCCTGCCTCCGCAGATCGAAACGCGCAAGCAGATCCACACGCGGTGGAATGGTAACAAGGAGTTTCTTGGCGCGTACCAACTTGACGCCATCGGGTGTCTTGACCACGAGTTCCACACCCCTCTCCCTCCGTACCGAACGCACGACTTCAGAAGACAGCAACAAGCTATCCGCATCGAGGAGCTCAGCCTGCGCTTTCCCGTACAACTCGCTGTTATTACGGCGAGCCGTGGTAACAAGACTACCGGCAGCGAGTTGCTGGACCAAACCCAACCCGTTGACACGCGCATTCTCCACTACAGGTACACTGAGGATATCTCCGATACCCTGGTTCGTATCGAACATGGTCTGTACCAGAGCTTCGAGACCGAGTTTGGCAACGAGGTCGCCGAACGGTATGGTCAGATCTTCTGGAACGGGGTCGGGGAGAAACATGCCGCTTTCTAGCTTGGGGTATTGGGCTAGGAACGCGGCGTACCTCTGGAGTCCGGTGCCGAAGTCTTCTACACTGGGTGCACTAACGTTGACGGCGAGACCGGTGCTGAAGTCGTAGTTTGCGGAGTTGGCAGCGTATTGTGGTTGTGCGAGGGGAATGTCGAAGCGGGCGAAGTAGTCGAGGACGGTGCTCTCATTATGGTAGACTTGTACGCCGTAGTCTTGAGCGAGACCGGTTGCTGGGTCTGTGTAGGTTTCTGTGTGGCCGCCTAGCCGGTTCTTGATCTCGACGACCATGACGCTTTTGTTGGCGTCTTTGAGGGTGATTGCGGCGTGCGTGCCGGAGGAGCCGCCGCCGATGATGGCGACGTCTCGGGTTATGATGGCGCTGGGATGGAAGGATGAGGGGTGGTGTTTGGGGGTTGTTGAGAAGACGGGGGGTGGGAGGAGGGATGCTAGAAGCACTGCTGCTGAGAATGTGGGATGCATGTTCGATGGTGAGAATGTTCCTTTCTGAACAACAGTATCATTGAGAACTATGTGAGATTATATACTACGGCGTACTGTCTGTATGATCGCTTAAAGGTGCCGTTTGTAGACGACGTAGACTCCCGTCGCGGTGGAACAAATGCAGCGTCCCGTGTCAAAGTACACAAGAGCGTTCGCAAGGAAATCAAGTCCCAACACTCAAGCCTGGTGTCAGCGTAACGAAGCCTCCAGATTCTATCAACCAATACCCTTTGCAGGAAAGAGAGGCCATGAAGCATGTCAGCGTCGAGATTCAAGTATGCGCATGCACGCCCTCTTATGTACGGCTTACAGCTCAGCAGCTCGCTCGCATCTGAAGTGGAGTTGTGGAGTTGTAAGCTTTCTGACAGGTTGGCAAAGGCTTGAGGGGTAACATGTGGCGTCCAGTGACAGCAGCCTGGCGAGTTGAAATGGCCATACATTGAGAATCTCATGCGATTTCACGTGTTTCTAGCTAGAAGGCGTACTGTGGGTTGTGATTGACCGGTGTCTAGAAGCTCGAAGGCGTCCAGGCGAATGGAGCGGGTAGTCGACTGTCGTATCGTTAACGTATGGAGATAAGTAACATGTATGCGTTCCAAGTCCCAGACAATGACAGACTATACGCAGACTGGAGAGAGGATAACGACTGTTCGTTTAGGTCACAGGGATGTGAAGAGGCAGTACGTGGGTGGGTTGTGTTGTCTGACTGCTGCCTAGCGGGCTGCTGGAACCAGGCTACACCTGTGGACGACAATGGAGAGGGGTTGAACGTAGGTTGACAAGAGAGCCCTGTATGTCTGCGCCGAAGTAAATCCTAACTATGTGGATATTTAGGTAGGCGCGAAATCGTCAATTGCTGTTCTCGATAGAAGTTGGTCGCCCAGGTCATGCCGCGACACTACCACGTGCCTCATCGTACCTTCCTGTTCGATGTTCGAGGATTGCCATCTCTTGGGTAGGAACTTGTCCACATCGCCATCAACATGACCTTTGAACTACGTCGCTCAACACGATTCTTCATTCTAGCCAAGAACAATTTCTCGCGCATGCGAATTGACACACTGTACGATCGTAGACAGACACCTGTGTCACAGTGGCGGCCCAAATCTCTGCGCTCCAACTGCAGGTGCTTCAAGGACGTCCCTGGTGTGACTAGAGCGAAGATTGCGGAATCAGGCCGTTTTCACATGTCGCAGGACTCGAGCGTTGCGCGGCGTTCAACGCTGTGTTCTCTGGCCAAGGCGTTGGGCGCGCCAGGGGAGCCGGCACCTGTGCAGATGGCGCCAGCAGGTAACTTGGGGCGGCATGTGTGTGCGAGTCTCTCACCGACTTTGAGGCTGCGCCTAACGACGGGCCTATTGGCAATGTCAGCAGCGTTACAGGTGGTGTGCACGGCAGCCGAATTGGTAAGCTGTGGGGAAGCTAACGCCTGGTCCCACTTGCCCTTAACCGCGGAGGTGCTTGCAGCCATCACAGTACCCCGGACATCTGGACTTTGCCATGTCCGGTAGCCCGCGATAGAGCTGTCGTCGCTATAGGAAGGTCCATTGTGGCTCTTTACGACTCTGTATGACTCTTCTCGACTCTTTTACGCGTTCGGTGTAATTCCTTGGTGCTTATCGGCCTCTACACTAGGGCGAACGTGAGGCCTTCTGGCATGCGCCAGCTACCACGGCCTGCCTGGTAGTGAAGAGAAGCATCAGGCAAGACATGGCGCGAAGACAGACGCAGTTAGCAACGTGCCCAATACTGGGTTGCACCGACGACACGACCGATACCTCCAATGTGGAAGCGGGAGGCGTACGGCACGTATCAGCGCGCCCTCGAACGGCCCTTTCGCCCTTGGAGCGGTTGTCACGAACCCATCGGATTATGACTCTGCGAACTTTAATGGAGGCGGTCAATATGTGAGCGTACGGTAGTGTGAAGCTGCAGAGCGGCAGAGCGCGACAAAAGCCGTGAGACGGATGCCTGGCCTGCTCTGTGACACATGCGCATCGGTGCATCTGCTGCACAACCATGTCACCTTGAGTCAAGCGGAGACGAACCCTGTCAAACAATATGTCGTGACGATCTAGCTCTCTCTGTGAGACTGCTTGCTATATCCACACCAGCAGCCACGGTGACGGTTCGATAGAGTAGTTTGCGACCGCTCGCTGTGGCTCGTTGCACCCGTTCTTACATTGGGCCGGTTATCTGATCTGCAGCTATCTTATCTGATCCCAGCATCTCGGTTGCACATCGGCAGCAATAGCTAATTACATCATTTGTTAGTTCGGGCACGCGCGCGTGAACGTCAGTGCGGATCTGGAAAAGCTCTTGCGGCAAGTGGAAGCGCAAACCGAAGAAGCAGTTCCCTTCCTCACAAACCACCCTATCCTGGACACAATCGCTGGAGGTCCCCTGCCGCCGTTTGTTTACTTCGGCGCAATCGAGCAGAAGGCGCGAATACACCCTCCGGTCCTTCCTTTAGTCCCAATGCGCCTCAACAGCCGTCAATAGCGAGTGCGAGTGCTGGAGGTTTGAACACCACCACAGGTCACAACAGGTCTCGTACGACTGCGGCAGACACCATGTTCGCCCACTGTAGAGGCCCGTTCTGGGGCAGAGACGACTTCTCGAGGTGTTTCGAGCAAGAGTAGGTGCTTCTTTTTGCTTTGCGCCACGACGCGATGTCTCAGATGCCACTGCAGCCATCCGATAGGCGATGCGCCACCATCAACGACCACTCAGCTAACACGTCGCAGCTATCTTCAAACACTATTCCCTCTCATCGTATGCGGAATATCCGTCGTTTATCTACTGGTCCAACTCTATTTCGCCGCCACCGCGTCCCGATACTACCACGCCTACAGTGTCCTCGAAGACCCCACCAATGTTTGGTCCTTCCGCAGCCCTCGCTACGATGGCGACGAACCCTACGAGGATGCCGAAGACGACCTTGACCGGAACGAAGATCTCGCGCTTCATGCCGTCAATACGGTCTCCACCATGGCCGTAGACAAACCCCGCGGAGAACTCACGGTCGTCATACTCGAGGAAGTTGCAGTACTGGCCCAGCTGGCACTCCACGTCGCTGTGCTGGTGACCAATGTCTGGGGCAGGCACGGCAAGCTTGCGGCCATTGCCAATGTTGCGGTCTGGGCCTACATTGCCACCCTGGCTTCGCTGCGATTGCTGTTCTCCAGCACCAGCAGATTCTCGTTTCCCAAGCTGTGGTACCACACTGCCTTCATTTACGGGTTCCAATGGGTCTTCAGCGTCCTCCTATTCCGGTCGGCCATCATCCACCCACGATCGCCTCTACACCGGAAGCTGATGATTGGCGATTTCGTCCTCGTCTCGCTACTATTCCTTATCTCTCTGTGCTCAAGGAAAGGCAACAAGGCGGTGGAGCTAGAGTATGAAGGCGACATCGCGCCAGCCCGGGAACCTATCGCCAGTGTTTTCTCGCTTGCCAC